AAAAAAAAAAAAAAAAAAAAAAAAAAAAAAAAAAAAAAAAATCCACCTAGAAGTTAGTTACCCTTCCAAAGTCCAGTCAAGCCTTCTGTTGTTGCTATAATTCTGTAGGCATTGTAAGTCCCAGTGTAGCGAGGTTGGGGACCATGTAAATGGCTCTGCGCTTGAAGTCTGACTTTCACAACCTCTGTGGGTTGACCGATGAATACCGCCACTCCTCCAGTAGTTAAGCCAGCCAAGATCTTGCTTCCTAAAGTCGCTGTTGTCATCCAGAGAGAAAAAAATATTTATTGAGAAAAAAATTTAAGATCCAGAATGCATTCGTGTGTCTTTTTAATTTATAGTGGTTAGTATTTTTGTATTCTTATATTTTTTCTACTTCCCTAATGCTTGTCCATGTGTTCATTATGTTCTAAAATATATCAAATCACAGTGGGGTAGAAAACTTCAGTTTCTGAAATTTTAGAAAAATAAAGACTTTAAAGGAAAAAGGAAAACATGATGTTTTCTTCTCAGGGTTTAGCTTAGTGCTTTCCTATTTCCTTTTCTCTTTTTCGATATTTCCCAACTGTGAGGAGGCACCAGTCACCAATGAATGCTTCATCTTCCTCTCATCAGTGATAATGCTAATTATTGGACTTAGTGGTCTTAGCAAAAGCCCAGCGGACAAATTGCCCTAATATGGGACATCAAGTAGTGTTAGGACACAGCATGTGAAGGGGATAAAAATAAGAAGAAAGAAGATAAGAAAGTGATTTTTGTTTTAAAACTTTGAAAAATTAGCTTATGTTGCTCAAAATAGATATTTAACACAAATTGTCTTGAAGCCCAGTGTTTGTTCCTATAATTAAACATAAAGTTATGGTTCAACAACACTTACTCATCAAGGACATTCTCAGTCCTTAGCAACAATTTATTGTGCAGTTTTAATTAGCTAGAAGAGAGGATTTTGAATGTTTCCAACACAATGCAATGATAAATGTTTAAGGTTCTAGAAAAAAAAATCAATGGTTGCCAGGGTTTCAGGGGATGAGAGAGGGAGGGAAGGAAGGATGGAGTGATGGAGGGATGGATGGTTGAATAGGTGGAACACAGAAGGCTTTGGGGGCAACAAAACTATTCTGTATGGTTGCGTAATGGTGAATTCAAGACATAATGTATTTGGTAAACCCCATAGGATTGTAGAATACAAGGCAGGAACCCTAATGTAAAATTAAGTTAATAATAATATATCAATACTGATTCATAATTGTAACAAATGTACCATCCCAATGTAACGTATCAATAATAGCAGAAACTGTATGTGTAGGTGTGGGGAGGGTAGAGGAACTATTTGTAAAAATAAATAACTTACTCAAGGACTTCCTCAGTATCTCTAATTCTGTTTCCTAATCTTTAGAATAGGGATAATAATACCTACGTCATAGAGTTGTTGTCTGAGTTAAAATAATATTCAGAAAGCACTTAACACACTGTCTGGCACAAAGGAAATACACAAAACTGGTAGCAATTATTTCCATTACTATATGAGAGTACGTTTTTCTCATCATGCTCAGCCAGGAGCTGCGCATATAATAGATAACTGTCTTTTAATATGCAATGTTGTATAATTACAATTTTTTGCCTTCATTTTTGGCCACATATATAAGCTTATCTTGGTGCAGTCATCCTATCCTCCAGTCTCCGACCCTCCAATCCCCTCTCCATTTCCCAAACTCCTTGCGAGAGATACTGTTTTCTTTGTCTTCACTTCCACAGCCCATTTCCTTCTTTTTTTTAAAAAAAGTTAAATTATTTATTTATTTATTTATTAATGTTGTTTGTGGTTTCACATATTTCTTTTCTTTTTTTTTTTAACTTTATTTTATTTTATCAATGTACAATGTGGTTGATTTTTGTGGCCCATTACCAAATCCTCCCTCCCTCCTCTCCCTACTCCCTTCGAACAACTTCATATCTGTTCACTTGTCTTAACAACTTCAAGGAATTGTGATTGTTGTGTCTTCTTCCCTCTCCCACCCCCAGTTTATTTGTGTATTTATTTATTTATTTTTAGCTCCCACAAATAAGTGAGAACATGTGGTATTTCTCTTTCTGTGCCTGACTTGTTTCGCTTAATATAATTTTCTCTAAGTCCCTCCATGTTGTTGCAAATGGCAGTATTTCATTCTTTTTTATAGCAGAGTAGTATTCCATTGTGTAGATATACTGCAGTTTCCTTATCCACTCATCTGATGATGGACATTTGGGCTGGTTCCGACTCTTGCATTGCAGCACTATTTACCATAGCCATTTCCTTATTAATCCTTTACAGTCTTGCTTCTACCCCAATACTTCACTGAAAATATTTTTGCTAGGAAACCAGTGAACTTCTGTGTGTCAGGTACGATGATCCCTTCTCAGCCTGTTTCACGCAGATCTCTCTCCTCTGTTTGACCCTATTGATGATAGTCCCTGTGACTTCCTGGAATCTAGCCACACCTTTCTCCCAAGCTCATGTGCCTACTGGACATCACCTGTTCGCATGTCCTAGAACAAATTTCTTATCTTCCCTCTTAGACAGTTTCTACATTCCCTTCCTCAGTAAATGGTATATTTAGCCAGAAACTTGAAAGTCATCTTATTACTACCTTTCCCTTATGCCTTACTTCCAGTTGCTCACCAGGTTTAGTCAATTCTACTTTCTAAATCCTTCTTTTTTAAAAAAATAATAATAATGACATATTTGTTAAACCCTTACCTTGTTCCAGACTCTGTGCTAAGCATTTTTAATTGATCCTATGTATTGTGAATATTTTATTTGACTTTGGTATGTCTTTAATTCTTATTTAAATATTATTTTTTCTTAAAAACCTATAGAGGCTTTTAAGAAATTGTGATGAAATAAACCAATCTTTTTTGGTTTCTGTTTGCTTGCTTTAACACATAAAAAGTCTATGCCACTCTAAAATCAGATTAGCATTAACCTTTTTTTTTCCCCCTAGCTCCCAAAGAACTTTAAATAACTTAAAAAAATTTTTTTTTTAAATCCTTCTGATTGACCTCTCTTCTCCTCCCCTATTGCCAATGCTTCAGGACATACCCTGATCATTTGTTTCTATCTAACTTACCCCTTTCTCACCGTTTTTCTATACATACTCTGTACTACTACAAAAGTGATCCTTTGAAAATATAAATTATTTATGCCACTGTCCTGCTTAACATTTTTCAATGACTTCCCATCACTGTAAGAATAAAATGCAAGCACCTTAGCATGGCCTGCAAGGCCTTTTGTGACCTGGCTCCTTCCCGACTTTCTGGCTTCATCTCTCCCTCCTCGCCACATGTCTTCCTTCTATGCTCTGTATATTCTCACCACTCCTCTCTGAGCCTTTGTACATGACCTTCACTCTACTTGGAAGGTCTTTTCTCACTATTTTGCCTGTATTAGACCTACTGGTCCTTCAGGACTTCGAGATTCAGATATTAACTCTTCAGGAAAATCTTGCATGACCATGCTCACAGCAAGATTAAATATTCCGCTTCATTGTGCCCAAGATCCTGTAATTACTTATAACGCAGCACGTGTCATGGTATACAGTCATCTATTAACTTCTCCCCACACACCTTATACTCAGAACTGTAAGTTCCTGCATGGAGAGATGTCTGTCATGTGTACATCACATGGCATTTCAATAAAGCTTACTAAATGAACTGAATAGGCGTAACAGAGAATACTGCCAAATTCTGTCTCATTAATTTGGTGCCTAAAGTACCCAGAAATTGGTTAGAACAGTCAATCTGTGAAGAAACCTCCCTGAATGGGCAGCTTCATATTCTTTGTGTTTCTTCTCTTACTACATCTATAAACATGACAATGCAGTATTGATCTAGAAACATCCAAACTTAATCTTCACTTGAAAAGTATTGCATGGATAAATTTAACTTAGATATTTGTATAGAATTTATGAATTATCCCATCCCATAAAGTTATAGTATTCAAAGGTTATTCAAAGCAGAAAAGATTAAATCTACTGAGGTAGTCACTTAATATATTCATTTTACCATCAGCACATCTCCCTGGCTTGCTGCTTCATGTGAAAGTGCCTCTGATATTTACTAGCTGTGTAATTTTGTGCATGTTATTTAACTTGTCTGATATTCAGATAAAACTTTCTACTCACAGGATTGTATGGATTGATGATGGACAGAACCATGCAAAATGCAGAAGCAGTAGAGTGCAGTGGTTAGGAGCCCGGGTGAGAGGCCAGCCTGCTTGGGTTTGAATTCTGGCTCTGCCCCTTTCCAGCTGTGTGAACTTGGGCAAGTTATGAAACTGCTCTGTGCTCAGTTTCCCCATTTGCCAAAAGATAATAATACGAGCACCTTTCCACAGCACTTCAAACAGCACCTGGTTTATAGTAAGCACTCAAATAAATGCGAGCTACAGTAACAGGAACCTTTGGGATACACTGGCACTTGAGAAACACTGGTTTCCTTTTCTTCTTGCCTTAAACAAACTCACTACATCTTAAGTCCACTTTTTCTTCTCTGGGCTTCCCTAGCATTAGATTAGGAGGAACCTCTTAAGAGGAAATAAGCCATCTTAAACAAACTCACTACATCTTAAGTCCACTTTTTCTTCTCTGGGCTTCCCTAGCATTAGAGATTTTAGGAGGAACCTCTTAAGAGGAAATAAGCCATCCCGTCCTTTTAACTCTCCTCACAAAGCCTGGATTTCTTTTCTTCAAACTAAAGGTTTTCAAACGTTGTTGCAAACGTTTGTCCCAAAATGACAAGGGAAGCTTGTGAATACACACATTCTCTGGTCTCCTACCTGAGGATTCAGATTCAGAGGACCATGGTAGTCCTCATTTGGATTTTTAGCAACTCCAAAGATGTTTCTGACATACTTTGCTGTTTGGAGTTAAACACGATTTCACACCCATTCATATTCTCCAGATGGAGACTCAAATTAGGCACAGAACTTCCATGACTGAGTGCGTGGTTTTTACAAGTATAGACGGTCTGTAAAAAGTTGATTTTGTATGCTTCTTTTCCTTTCTAAGAAGAGTGCGCTAACATTGGGGGAAAGGGGAGAGTTTGAACATTGATGTATTCTGGCCAGTCTGTTCTGAAGACCACTACCCTGTGTGTGGCCCTTATTGCCGACCTGCCCCAGGGCTTCCTGCTCACCTTCCCTGCCTGCGCTGAAGAGCTCCTGGANACCCATTCATATTCTCCAGATGGAGACTCAAATTAGGCACAGAACTTCCATGACTGAGTGCGTGGTTTTTACAAGTATAGACGGTCTGTAAAAAGTTGATTTTGTATGCTTCTTTTCCTTTCTAAGAAGAGTGCGCTAACATTGGGGGAAAGGGGAGAGTTTGAACATTGATGTATTCTGGCCAGTCTGTTCTGAAGACCACTACCCTGTGTGTGGCCCTTATTGCCGACCTGCCCCAGGGCTTCCTGCTCACCTTCCCTGCCTGCGCTGAAGAGCTCCTGGACCGTGTCATAGAGGCCGATCCTAAGCGAGGCGAAGCTCATCTGCCTCTGGAGGCCGGCGGGCAGCCCGCTGTAGAGTTTCATTGGCCCTTCGGTTTTGGCCAGAGTGGTGATTGTGCCCAGGACACCTTTATACCTAACAGCACTGGAGGTCCGGCACTCGCCTTGGATCTGGAAATGGGAAAGGTGCAGGCCAGAGGTAAGTGAAGATAGAGTAAAGGGGGTCCTGCCTGGTGAGGAACAAACAAGTCTGGCATCGGCTGTCCTCTATGCAGGACGCTCAAGCCACAGTGTGCGTGTACATACACATGTGAGGGTCCTTCAAGAAGTTCGTGGACAAAGAGAATTAAAAGACAGCACGAAATTTTCCATGAACTTTTCGAAGTACCGGGTGCGGCGGGAAGAAGAGAAGCTACAATGCACATTTTGCACATCCTGTTTCCCCCCATGAACTCTCCAGAGTCCCTAAGGCGGTGAGATGGGAAGGTGCCCCTGCAAAGTCGAACAGCAGAGGGATAAGCCGCCAGGCTCGCAAGCTCGGCGGAGGCTGATCTGCTCAGTTCTTGGCGCACCCAGTGCACCCCGACTTTCGGCAGGCTGTGGCAGTAGCCACGGTCTACCCAGCATCCGTGGCCCTGGGTCCTACAGTGAGACCCAGAAGTTCCAGCTTCCCTAAAGCACTCAGTCCGGAGACAAAACCAAACTTTTTTAAGGTGGCCATCTGCTTCACCTAACTGAGAAGGGTGGTTAAATCAAAGCGGAGAATCAGAGGGACGCACACACAGATGTCCCCTCTCTGTCCCGAAGCCCCTCGCCACTCCCATCCGGCTCGCTACCTGTAGCCGGACTTTGGCCGTGTCCAGCGGGAAGGTGACCACGTCGGCCAAGCAGGCGGCCGCTCCAGCCGAGAAGATCTTGACCCCCATGGTCGGGTGCGCGTCCGAGGCTGTCGCGCCGGCCATCCTCCGGCGGACACGGGGCAGGCGCGGGCGCGGGACGACAGGGGCTGCAGCC